GGCAGCTAGTCATCAAAGAGTTGGCGGTGGGTGGTGGCTACTCTTTTACCAACGAATAGTGGGATTGACCGTCACATTATAACGCCCCCACGGCTGAAAGAGCGAGCATGTTTGGTGGGATGCGGATTCGAACCCGCGACCCTCAGATTGTGAGTCGAGCGCCATATCCACCTGGCCATGCCAGGCTTTAATTATTTAATGTTGTTAGTAGTAGACTGAAGACTTGTAACATAAGAATTCACTATTCAATTTTCTCAGTGAGCACAGTACAATTAGCCCATTATACAGCTTTGCGCTTAACGACAAATAATCAGTAACATATTTCTTTTTTCTTTTTTTGCAAATATAATGCACTAAAAAGCTAAAACCTTATAATAGAATCATAATTTACATGAAATTACCTTACAGTTAGATTGGGTAAAAAGGCCATATATTTTTACTAAACATTTGTGATCAAATTAGAATCTTTATTGCAACAGTACATCTTTAATTTCTAGAATAATACAAACAATTTCTAATCACAGATGCGGAATTTTATAAGTCCACTTGTCTTAGGCCTAACATTAGTTAAGCCTTTACTAATTACAGCCTATATTCGATAAAGAGATATATTAACACTGTAACTTGTGTATGTTTTTTTTTGCTATATTTTTAGTTGGGGCTAAGATTTACCGTGCTTAATATTATCACTAAACAAACGCATAATGTTATTCTACGATGTAGCGTTAGAAATCTTTTACAACTTTGATTAGCTTTTAATACGTTGTCGTACAAAATGTCTGCTAAAGTATATTTTCATCCGCCTTTAGTTTACATCCGTTAAAATGAAGTGCGCGCGCATTTTCAGGACAGACAAAAATTGAGTATTACTATAAAAGATAATGTTGTTTGCATATGGATCAGCCAATTTGTTTCTGTTAATCTTATTGTTCTGGATTTACTGTCAAAACACTTAATGTTTTTTTTAAGTATTTCGATGAAACATTATATGGACACTAACTCTAATAATGGGTTTTGGACACTGATGTATCCAGTGATCCTTTTAATGTTTTTGTGTTTCAGCTCATTTATCTTCTTTATTTATAATACGATTTTTGTTTGTTTGTTTGGAATTAAGCACAAAACTACACAATGGGCTATCTGTGCTCTGCCAACCACGGGTATCGAAACCCGGTTTCTAGTGTTGTAAGTCCGCAAACATACCACTGTGCTACTGGGGGGCTTAAAATACGAACTCTAACACTACTTGTATTAAAAACTAACTACAGAAGTTTATTGCGTTAGATTAAAATCATTTTTGAGTCTTATAAAACGCTAAGTCCTAAGCCTGTCATGTTTAAAGCACACCTCTCCTCCCTGTAGGCTTGCCATAATCCATCTAGTGTACGAGAAATATAGTTTTCCCGTGCCAGTTTCAACAATCCGATCGCACAGAAACCCGCTGCATTTGGAAACTTTGTGTAAAAGAGCATTAATATCCACTTCATATTCAATCTACCTGAGGCATAGAACAGTTAAATATATATATATGGCGTGGAATTAGCGTATGTATCGTGAATTATGTCGTTTTTTCAGATGGAAATCCTTCTTAAGTATGTTGCGTACTGTTACTTGGGCCACATGGACAACGTTACCACTGAACCTTATACTCGTGGATTCTCACTTATCAAATGGCGCCGCACATTGCTTGCACAACTGGGGTTGCCTTATGCATATTCCTTTGTTTTTCAATTTCTTTAAGTATAATTCATATCCCGTCTTCGATCTCAACACATATTTGCGACCTGAGTGTATGAATATTTTACGTCAGAAAGCACTGTTACATAACTATCCAAAATGGATCAGTATTCGGTGTTATCAGATTTCCTAAATAATGCCAAACAATGTGAAAAATGTACTTCGGATACATTCCGTTCCATCGCAACTATATGTATGCTATGTTTGTCATATTACTCTCTGACTTGTATATTCAAAATTGTTTCAATATAACGTACTGAACACTGTATAAGAAACTGTTGGCCCTCATACAAGTCTAATCAACTTTTTCAAGAAAAGAAAAAACGTAATCAAATCTCTTAGTTAGAGAATATTAAGAAAATATAACTTATTAAACATTAAAAGTAATAATTCTATCTGTATTATAAAAATAATCATCTTACTGTTCTGTAGATGGTACTGACTCCGGGAAGGACAAAAATGGTTTGAAGAATGGTGAAAGCTCTACAGGTTTCTGAAGAAGTGCAAACTGTTCAACTACATGTTTCTGTAAGTATTAAAATATTATTACTGAAGACGAAAAGACATTATATGACAATATGACATTGTAATATCATATAATTAACTTAAGATTTCTAGCTTTACTATATTCCCCCCCCAGTGGCTCTGCAGTAAGTCTGAAGGCTAAAACCCGGGTTTCGATCCTCGTGGTGGATACCATACAGATATCCCATTGTATAACAAACAAACAAACTTATCTCTATATATATATTGTTTACAATAAACATTCCAACATACTAAAATCAAACATTATCACCCATATTTGTAGCGAAAGGAAGGAAAATATTACCCTTAAAAAAGTTTTTTAGCTGTTTTTGTTTACTTATTCGGATATTCAGTTTAATATAATAATATCTTTAAACCATTTATATAAACAAAACATATCTATTTTTCTACTTTAGTCTCAAGTTCTTAATGAAAATATCATTTCAGTAACTGCTAAAAGTAAAAAAAAGCATCTTATATAATAACATTTCATTACTATAAACTTTCTCAGCTGACAGTGACAACACAGAGTGAGAAATAATGACAGCAAAGCTACCTGATCAGCATTTCAACCAATTCTACCATTCAAAGAAAATAACGAACCTGGTCTAAGATAAATGAATGATTATTACAGAGGTATTAGTGAGGTATTACATTGTTGATATTTACCAGGTATTAGTGAGGTATAACATTGTTGATATTTACCAGATATTAGTGAGGTATTACATTGTTGATATTTACCAGGTATTAGTGAGGTATTACATTGTTGATATTTACCAGGTATTAGTGAGGTATAACATTGTTGATATTTACCAGGTATTAGTGAGGTATTACATTGTTGTTATTTACCAGGTATTAGTGAGGTGTTACATTGTTGATATTTACCAGGTATTAGTGAGGTATTACATTGTTGGTATTTCCCAGGTATTAGTAAGGTATTACATTGTTGATATTTACCAGGTATTAGTGAGGTATTACATTGTTGATATTTACCAGGTATTAGTGAGGTATTACATTGTTGATATTTACCAGGTATTAGTGAGGTATTACATTGTTGATATTTACCAGGTATTAGTGAGGTATTACATTGTTGATATTTACCAGGTATTAGTGAGGTATTACATTGTTGATATTTACCAGGTATTAGTGAGGTATTACATTGTTGGTATTTCCCAGGTATTAGTAAGGTATTACATTGTTGATATTTACC